CCCCAAAACCCCAAAACCCCAAAACCCCAAAACCCCAAAACCCCGTAATGAATAGTCTTAGCAATAAATGGTTATATGAATAATTCAAAGTATATGCGTTTGCCTAGATAGCAAATTAATCTATAGACTGAGTAAAACTTAATTCATTCAGATATAACTGTTCTTTCAATGTTAATGAAGTCTATTTTTCTATTCGATTTCAGATAATTCCTGATACATCTTCTCTAGTTTGGCTAATCTCTGATTGGACTTCTTATTTTGAAGATTTTTCAGTTTCTTCTTAGCCTTGGCAGCAGCGTTTTCATTGTTGGTGCCAGTGCTGTTCAGTGTGTTGAAGTTATTTCTCTTTTGGTCTTTTAGTAAGACTCTTGAGTTCTCCTAGCCAACAGTAGTTGAAGCCATTTCCAGAATGTTCTTCTGAGACAATGACTTGCTATTATTTCTTAAGTGCCTTTTGTCCCCATTATTGATGGTAAGATTGGCAGTGGAGGCTGTAATGTCTCTCATTCTGTCATCTCTTAATGATTTATCTCTACTATTCAGTCTATTTTTAGAAGAACTCGTATTCATGCCCTTTATAACGTTTCTAGTGCTCATTGGTTGTCTCATTGATCTATATTTCTCCTTTGATTAGCTGTTGCTGCCTCTAGAGTCATCTCTGCCAATCACGCGAGCAGTAGTACTTCTAATCTTAGAGGTGTTGTCAGGTCCATTCCTCTTTGAATTTTGGGAAGTCTTGCGTCTCTTTGACTTGGTGGAGAGTTGATTGTTTTCAGACTGGCCTCTCTTCTTTGGTTTGCTTGAAGATGATCTGATGACTGAATTGAATGTCGAAGTCATTTTGTCCAGCTCTTGCATAGTGTATTCTCTAGACTTGTTCACCATGTTCTTATTCCTTAGTGCTACGAATGAAGTCTTTTTGGAGTCTCTGCTTACACTTCTATTGTTGCCGTTTTTCTGTTTAATCAGAGATTGAGACCTCGCATCTAGACTGTCTCTTAGTCTGCGAGCATCTTGGGACAAATTCTCATCATACTTAGACTGATTGTGCTATTACTGCTGACTGGGTTTGTACTTCTAAGCACTAGCATTGCTAAGTGGAGATCTGTTCATGCTATCATTCATGTCTCTGATTGATCTATCTCTAGCACGCTAAAATGCTGCTCTGGGTGATTCAACATCCTCCTAGTTCTAAAAATGCTGTTGCTAGGAAAGCAGCTTCTCTTCGAATGTGTTTCTACCATTGAGGAGAGACTAATAATCCTTGTCAACTGTGGTATTAGTGTAAGGCTAAGATAAAACTGAAAATTGGTTACTCACTCTTACATCATCCTTCCTCTTCTTAGATTTGCTGTTATCGAGAGCTTTATTTTTAGAAACTTTTTCTCTGACAGGTGGAGAGACATCTTTCCTGGCTTTGCTATTTGATCTCTGATTCGGTGATCTCTCAGCTATGCCTTGGCTCTTTTATTTATTAACTCTGCTGAAACTATTTTCTCTGTTGATTGAGTTATTAGCTAGGGCATTCGCACTGTTCTTAAGCAGACTTTGATTTTGCAATACTTCCTGCTATTACTACTGCTGCTGCTATTACTGATTTTTATTTTTAGCCTTTTTGCGTTCATCTCTGCTCTGGCCGAATAACTTGGTCTCACAATCACTCAGACGATCGTTGATTCTTCTGTGCTTCTTAGCTTGATCCTTAATAATTTCAGCCAGAGATTCAATTGAATCTGCCATGCGTTTAGATAGCTTATCCTCAATGAGTCTTAAGTCCTAGAGACTGAAGTTATTCTGGCCATTGCCATTATTCACATTCTGAGAACGGAATGTTTCCTAGGATGATATTTTGAAAGTGTCAGAGCCTCCACTTAAGATGCCCTCATTGTGAGGATTAAGATTGCTGCTGACAGAGACTCTGATCTTTTCTTCTAGATATCTGACCATCTACTAGAATCTATCATCCATTTCATACTGCTTCTTTTGCAGATCTTCAACTGAGGCCATTGCATCATCTGTCAATCTATTGCATATCTTCTCAGCGTTTTATGCGATTTGAAGAATTTGATCAGTAGCGTACTATCTATCTCTAACTTCATTTTGAATCTTAAGGTCTAATTATTGAAGATCAAAGTGACTGGCTTTGTCAGAGTCAAACTGATTTACTTGTTCCTCTACTTTCTCCAGCCATTCATTTAAAGCTGCCTCCATTTTCTTCATGTTAGGGTTTTATCCAGAAGCTCCTCCGAGTAATGATGATGTTGACTCTATCACTCTTTGTCTTTCCTTTGCGAAAGATGCTGTTGATGAATGTTATTTCAATTCAGATAACCTTCTATTAGTAGAATATTCTTTTTCGTTAATAACTTTATAGATGCGTTCTTCCATTTCCTTAAGTGCACGATCAACCTCTCTAGCAAAATTAGCATACTAGTCAGCTTATGATCCTGCTCCATCACGATGAGAATTGAAGTTAGAGTTTGCTATACTACCTTGATTATTAAGCTAAGCTTTGAACTGAATGGAATTGAACCTATCTTCAAGTTATTAGAACTTGTCCTCTAGTTATCCCAATCTTTTGACATTGGCTGCATTGTTTGTGCCACTTTCAATTGAATTGTAATGATTACTTGGATAGGAACTATCAGCTCCTCTTTTCTTGCCTGGACTAATACTTCTATTATTCTTAATATTACCATAGTTGTTGCTATTGCCTTCCTAGTGATGAGCTAATTCATCAATTCTTTGGTGAATGCTTTTAAGTTATGTTTTCACATTTTAAGAGTCCTCTTCTTGTGCATCAGCATAGCTTTGCAAAAGTTTGATGAGGCGGCTAATATTGAATATTTTTTCCTCTTAAGAACTCAATTAATGCTGTTACTGCTCAAATCTATCTTGAAATGCTTGAACCGTCAAGCACGCCTAACTTACTCTCTCAAGCTAGACTTCAAGGAATGTCATATAGGCATTACGATCAGTCATACTTTTCAAATTTTAAAGCTTGCCTTAAGTCTGATTAGCTTAAGGATTTGTATTATTCAATGTTGTCGTAGCAGCTGTCAAATTCTATCTGTTGGGCGACACTGAATGTGAATTTGCTAAGGTATTTTCAATCACCTATATTTCATTTAAATACCGGACATGATAGTCTATGATTTACCCTTGAGTCTGACGAGCGAGTACGATTTTTATACATGTCTGCATACTTGGCGTAGGTAGCCATTTTAAATTTGAGATTACTTTTATTTTTAATTGATTCAAAACTTTAACGAATAAATTCAAATTTGACTTCATGGGGTTTTGGGGTTTTGGGGTTTTGGGGTTTTGGGG